TTTCATATAGATTATATATCTGAAGGGAAACGAAAAATGTGGGAAGAAATTGAGCTAATACAAGTTGACCTTTCATCTTCTCTACAGACTGCGTTAAAAAATATAGAAGATAAAATAAATTCATGTTATGCAAAATATGCTGATGAATATGCAAATACCGAGGCACACTTTATGTGAGAATTGTATATGACAAACAAAATTCACAAGTGTCATTTCAAATCTACGAAGACAATCCAAAGAAAGACGAACAAATATATACAGAATTCACTGCAATGTCATGGTATTATTTGCAAAGAATGTTAAATCAGAAAGTCGAACTTCCTTTAGCAAATATTTACAGTCGATATGCAAGAGATGAACCATATTTATTTAAAGATGTTTTCGACCCAGCTGCTATTATTGTTCATGCTTCATTTTCTGGCGCCCAAAACTCTTTCTTATGTTGGCAAATGACTTTTACGAAAAACCTACAAAGTTATACGAACCACCAAGTGGAAGTATTTCAGACTTTCAAGTATGGTTTACTACAGATGGAAGAAAAAGAATAATTCCATTATACCATGCGTTTTACTTAGAACTTAGTTTCATATACAACTACTATCGAACGGTAAAAATATAATTTTAATACGGTTGAGGTGTTGGATTTTGGTTGCCAACTAGACTGTGGTGCAGGTTCAGGCTGTTGTATAACAGGAGCTTGTTCTTCTGGTTCAGGGTCTTTAGGTATAATACCAACGAACTGACCTACCCTTTTACCAATATTTTTGACTCCGTTCCAAATTCCTCTTCCTACGGTTTTTATTCCATTCCATATACCTCTTCCAACTTTCTGAAGAAGTTTTCCAATACTACTGGAAGAAACCATTTTACTATATGTAAAATCTAATGTCCGCCTAGTCTCTTACGTTTCCTGTTTGAGTTCCATAGCATTCTTTAACTGGAGCTCATACGATTCTGTTTCTCCTCTGGTAGAAAACATATTCTGGGTCAACTCCTGTGTTTCGCGTCATCTGCATAAAGTTGTTTAGTATCCCACTTCAGGGTTTGTATAAAATCTTTCCATCTCATATTTGCATACCATGGTGGCAAACCTAACGCAGCGTCATTTGACATGGCAGTTTGCATTTGTACATCTGTTGGCACTTGACCATAGTTTGCCATTTGCAGTTTGTATTCTAACTTCATTTGGAATATTCTCTGGGTTGGTTGTCCAGGTTGCTGTGCATTCGCTAAGTTCTGTGCGTCCATTTAATATTAGATAAAAATATCTCTTACGAGTACATATACTGAACATTTGCAGGCATTGGTTCATCTTCATATTCTCTGTACTTTTCTGCCACGTCAAATAAATAAATGACACAATGGAAAAAACCTAAAACAAGTAGTCCTATTTCAAACCACATTTACTTACTAATAAAATTTCTTTGTTATGACACTTTTTCCGGTTTATAGGACCTCTCTCATATTCTATCTTGTCATATATAAACTCATAGTCATGTATGTCCTCTAACCATCTCATGACACTTTCCAAACCACTTTTATCGGATGTAAAGTAAAAGCATGGACAGTTATGTAAAACGTCTAAAGTTTCTAAAGAGTCTCTCAAAGTCCAGTCTGCTTGGTATTGAAAATCGTATGTGTTAAAGAACGGCGGGTCTACTATAAGAAAAACATTTTCCTTGTTTTTATATTTTTCATACAACTCTGTCCAACGACATCTCACAAACTCTATACCCTCAGTATATTTTTCTATGTCCTCTTTGAAAACCTTTGTATAGTTAAGATATAAAACGTTTGACATAAGTGTTTCAATGTCATGAACTCTTATAGAACCACTATATAATAGTCTAGAAGATATACTATCCCAGTCAATATACTCTGCTTTTTTCAAAACCTCTCTTACAATATTTTTCTTATCTAATGGTATACGTTCCATCTTGCCTATAGGTATCTTTTCTTTTAACTCTTTCAATATTTTGTTAGTGTCTGGTATATGTTTGAGACGGTCCATATAGTTGTCGAAGTCATTGCATATAATCTTTGAGTCAGGAAATACAGTATGGCACAAATGAGATATATAGAAACTTCCACCGAACAAATCTACAAATGTTAGACCATTCGGTAGTTTCTTAAGTTCTCTCAATAGAATATCTTTACATCTACTCTTATTTCCAAAGAAGGTAACGGTGGTTTTGTAAAATTCATTTTATATACAATAAAAATGTTTTTTCCCTGAAAAGTGACAGAAAAGTGACAAAACATGAAAACATATATATTTGTGAAAAAGCTCCTGGAAGACCCGTATATAAGAACTTCAGATGGAACACATACTTTTTCAGTAAGGACATATGAGGTGAGATGTCACCTGTTTTCTCACCTCATTTCTCACCCGTTGAATTTTCATGAATTTCTTCGTAAAGACTTTGTTAAGACTTCTTCGTAAAGACTTTGTTGAGATTTCTTCGTAAAGACTTTGTTGAGATTTCTTCGTAAATGACCCAAAAATATATTTTAGGTGAAGAGGTGAGATTTCACCTCTTTTTTCACCTCATTTCTCACCTCTTGAATTTTCATGAATTTCTTCGTAAAGACTTTGTTAAGACTTCTTCATCTAATTTCTCATGAACTTTCTTGTCTATGTTTTGTTGAGATTTCTTCGTAAAGACTTTGTTGAGATTTCTTCGTAAAGACTTTGTCAAGATTTCATCGTAAAGACTTTGTTGAGATTTCTTCGTAAATGACCCTAGTAGTATATTTTTGGTGTAAATTTCATGAAAATTCAAGAGGGTGAGAAGAAGTCTTAACAAAGTCTTTACGAAGAAGTCTTAACAAAGTCTTTACGAAGAAGTCTTGACAAAACATTTACGAAGAAGTCTTAACAAAGTCTTTACGATGAAATCTTGACAAAGTCTTTACGATGAAATCTTGACAAAGTCTTTACGATGAAATTCATGAAAATTCAAGAGGTGAAAAATGAGGTGAAAAAACAGGTGAAATCTCACCTCTTCACCTAAAATATATTTTTATTGAATTCTGTATAATATTCTGAGTAAAATGACAGATGTTTATATGACACTTTCTCCGGTTTATAGGACCTCTCTCATATACTAAACATCTTCAGGGCTAGAAGGCACGAAGTGCCTGGAAGCCCCACTACCTTTTTTTTTTTTTTTTTTTTTTTTATTATCCCCATGAATGCTATGAGTATATTTTATATATCAATCTTAAGTTTTAAATATACAGATTTTCCAATGGGTTCCAAATCTGAGATATAAAATTTTAAAATCAATAATACAAATTAATTAAAATCATCGTGTGTTATTTTTTTATTGCAAAAAAATAGCGCTGTTGTAGGATAAATTCAATGAAATATTTACTAAATTATCTCGGACTTTTCAGAGAATTGAGTGGAGCGAAGCGGAACTCAATTCTCTGAAATAGTCCGAGATAATTTCTAGTCTTAATTTCCTTCAAAAAATAGTCAAAATTGTTTGGACTTGTGAGTTCAAAACTTTACAAAAAAATTTGAATAGTGACAATGAAATTTTTATGATCAATACAATTTTTAAATAATTTACACTTTTTTCTGAAGTTAAAAATAATGCTGTAAATGTATAATAAAACATTATTTTAAAATAAAAAATTCTAATATTTACAAAACAAAATTTTTAATGGCTTGAACCAACTCAGAATTCATGCTATCATGTACCAATTTTGGGACCAATTTTTCCGTGGTCCTTTTAGATTCCGTTAGGAAGACCAGATTGTCTTGTCCGTTCTAACTACATGCTTCATTTATGCAAATTCAATTTCAGATTATCTTTTGAAAACTAACAATTTCTTTTTCCACGTCATGATTGAGGTCACCACAACCTTCCCTTACGCGCTTTCTTCCTTTTTAGAAAGTTTATGAAGTTTACATATTGTCACTTTTTTAACCCTCACCAAAAATCTTATAATCTTGTTTATTATCTTATTATGCACCACTGTGCTGATCTAAAAATTTTATTTCACTATTCAAATTTTTTTCGTAAAGTTTTGAAACACTCAAAAGTCCGAGAAAACAATTTTGACTTTTTTGAATGGAATTAAGACTTCACAATTAAATTTATCGTAAAATCATTACTTAGGATAGCCAAATATTTATAGTTAATAATTAAAAATATTATATATCGGAATTATGTTTTCAATTTTCCGAGATTTTTATGAGTATGTGTATAGGAACTGAATACATTAAAAATAATCAAAACGAAAAATAGTGTTTTGTTCTATTGATAGAAATAATTCAATGTCAGAATCAGAAATAATTTATGGGATTGTGAACATATCAAAAATTTGATAGCCGATTTTAAAATCTATATTAACTATACTTTCTATTGTATATGCAAAAACCATATTTTGCTGCAATTTAATTATTTCTAAAGGTTGTAAAAAATTGAATTCATTAGACCCATATGACACACCATGTTTTGAGGGACGGTATATTTTTCTTTGGCTATTTATGCTCAATGTGAATCAACTAGATAGAAAAACAAGATAATTTCTTTTAATTTGAATCATTTATCAATTTTTACTGAAATTATCAAATTATGCCTAAATACTATTCTATTAACCATTTCATGTAGAGAATATTGAATCTAATGCATTTAAAATTTGAATACCCGCTTAAATCTTTTGCAAGAAATTTTCGGTTGTTTTGTGAGAAAAATTTCAGAATATGCTTTCAATTTAATTTCAATTATATAAAATATTATTTCAAAACCTATGTTTTCTTGACGAACATAGCGAATAATTGAGTTCAGAAAATCTTCTGAATTGAAATTTTTTCTAATTTTTTAATTGTTTGATTCTAAGCTTCCCTGATCATATCCTTTTCATATAACCCTTTCGAGAAACACAGAGATCAAAGAATTATCTTCTCAAAGGCAGAAGACGAGCGATTAAAGAAACTAGTCGAGAAATCAGGTAAAAAACCAAACTGGAAGTCAATAGCTCTTGCAATGAAAACTAGATCTCCAAGACAGTGCAGAGAGCGATATAGGAACTATCTGAACCCAAATATTGAGCATTCTGAGTGGACAAAAGAAGAAGATCAAAAAATTCTTTATCATTACTCTCAATTTGGTAATCAATGGAAGAAGATTTCTGAATTTCTACCAGGAAGAACTGGGAATTCAATCAGGAATAGGTACCATTCTCTTGTTAGACAACATCAAAGAATTGAGCAGTACAAGATGAAGTCAATCCCTCAACCACAGCCTCAAACACAATCATACCAATCTAATGAATTACCCCCAGAACAAAATATTCAACTACCTCAATTTATGCAACAACTTTTTATTCCTATGGATAATATTTTCTTTGATCAGTCATCAAATACAATTGTTGAGTGATTAATGAACTTATAGAAATCCATTGAAGCTGTCATATTATGTAATTTGTTTTGTTGATTGGAGTCATTTTTTATGTCGCAAGTGGTTCTCAATAATCATCATGTAAATGTATTTAGATTTATCACTTGCGACATATTCTCATCAAGAAGATTGCATTTATTTCTGAAAATTTAATTTCAAAATTTATGCCATACATAACTCCAATTATTTACCATGAATAAAGAATAAAAAATTATTTATCCACTTTGTGCTCTAAAAAATCATATCTTTACAATTCTAAATTAGTTTGATATAATTTTTTAAATTTTATAGCATTTATTGCAAAACAAACGAATCTACAGAGCCACATTAAGCAGATTTCCATATTTCTTCAATCAAAATTATAATGTTTTCTTTCTTCTAAATATTAAAACAGATCCTTCTATCATTTCCATCCTGTAGTTCATAATATCATCCCACTTTATCTCTTTCTCTAATTCAAATCCAGTTTCGTCCATTCTCTTCATAAAATACCTTGTAACACGATTATATCTAAAAATATGGCCGACAATGAAGCGACCATCTTGAGATAGTAAGCTATTAATTGTGACAACTAATGGATCAACACAGGCTTCATCATAAACAATCTCAGAACCCATTACGATATCAAAGATTCCATTTTGAGCTTTAAAAGCATCAGCAGCTTCTACGCCCCAATGAAGGTATTTGCATTTTATGTTTTTGCAACCAGATAATTCTGCGTTTGATTTCATGAGATCAACAACAAGTTTGTTGCCATCTGTAGCAATAGCAAGCTTAGGAGCTCCGAATTTAGTTAAGAATAGAGTACAAATAGCAATTCCGGAACCAAGTTCGATACAAGATTTGCCTTTAAACCAATCAAGGTTACCATCGATGTAAGTTAAAAAGAGTTTGCAACCTGGCCAAATAATTTGCCCTGTTAAATCTGGATCAGTGTTTGATGAAATTAATGCATTGAAGTCAATTGAGCGACCAGACGGCATTTCTATATGCTGAAGCTTGTATTCAGTATTTGTAAACAAGTCTTCCATAAAATTGTCATTAATCGGTCCGCTTTCTTCTTCACTCATCAAAAAATGGTCACTTTTACTCTCCAACCATTGTGATTTTTTGAGAGAAAGTTCTCCATATCTACTTCAACTAAGAGTGATATTAAATAAATCTACAATCACTCTATCAGAAGCATAAGTATTGACTGTAATTGCTATGATCCAAAGTAAGTAGTATATGTGGAGGGTTATGTGACTTTTTTTGTAAACGTAAGAATTCATACAATATTGAACGATTTTGTATCATTTTTTTTAACATATGAAGTAAAAAATGTATGATTCTTACGGTTTTTATTCTTACGTTTTTGAATAAATCAAGATTTAAAAATTTTCAGAATCGTAAGAAATTTACACTCAGCCCATACATAACGAAATATATTTCATCACTTATAAAAGAAGTTATATATAGATAATGTCAGCTATTCCACGATTAATTAAACATTGTTTAAATCCTGAATGGAATCAACGGAGTCATAATGAAAAACCACATAAACGGGTAAAAAAATTAGAAACTAATGATTATTTGAATTTATGAAATCAATAATTTGATTCATTCTTTCTTCAATCTCTTCTATTCTTTTTGTTAAATCATCTATTTTCATTAATGAGGTGATTCTTGATTGAGGAATAGATTTCAAACTAACCACTCCTTTTATTTTTGAAATTTTGAATCCATCAACTTTAAACATTTTATTCAATTTACATGTTGTCAATTCTTCAAATAATTTTTTTTTCTTACGTTTTTGAATAAATCAAACAATCTACCAGTTGACCAGAAACAGAGAAAATTAACTCAGTTAGCATCAACACACAACCAATATCAACCATTTTCTTCTTATTATCTTTGGTATCTAATAGACAGATTTCATTTTATCATTGATGACATTCAATCAATTTTAACATTTACTAAAAACACTTGTTTTAATGAATTTGCGAACAAATTTATGAACGAAAGAAAAGGCTGAATTAGAAGGAAATAAAGGAAAAAGTTTATTTTGCAAGATTTCGCTTAATGGATCATATGGTTACGATGCAATGAATACACAAAATTACGCAAAGACTAAAATAATGAATGCACAGAAGTCACGCGTTGCATGTATGTCAAATAAGTTTAAAAACATAGAGAAATAGGTGAAGATACATATCAAGTGATGCTTAAAGATAGATTTTATAGATGTGATACATGTTTACAAGAGGCATTCTTCACTTTAGATAATGCTAAATACTGGTATTTGGTTTTCATTTATGATTTTATGTATAAATGCATGAATGTTAATCGTTTTCATTTCATTGAAGGTGATACTGATTCATCTTATTGGGCAATCGCTGGCGATCCAAGTCTTCCTAACACTCAAGCATTTCAAGCAATTGTTACCGATAAACAATTTTATGATAAAAACATTTTCAAATTCGCACCATTTGATTTCTTCTGTTTTGATGAGAAATTTAAACCTAAATTAAAGAATAAAGCTGAAGAAAAAGCACATGAGAAGAAGTTATTGGGTTTAGCAATTGAGAAACAAGGTGATAACATGGTTGCTTTATGTCCTAAGTGTTATACATCATTCAATGGTTCAATTGATGGAGGTGATTTTAAAAAGATTGCACAAAAAATGAAAGGTGTTAGTTTACGACAAAATAAACAATTAACACCTAAAAATTATTTGGATATAATAAATGATAAATTGATATTTGATGGTCAGAATATTAATTTACAACTTAAAAATGGGTTAATGACTCGCTTAACAATTGGTAAGACTGCATTAACAGGAGCACACACTAAGGCTGTATGTTGTGAAAATGGATGTTGTATGCCATTTATTTAATGAAATGCCACAGAAGAGACAAAGAGGTGGGCACCCTTAAAACATTGATTTTATTTTTATATAAATGAATAACACAGATTTAAAAATTTTAATTGATGATTTAGTATTTAATCAAAATTTTCTTAGTTATTATGAATTAAAATCATATCTCCAAAAATATGATAATAATATAACGGGTGATGATATGGAATATTATTATCCATATTATAAAAATGAAATTTTGAAATATCATGATAAAATAATTTCTAAAATTAAAGACAAAATTAAAAATAATGAATATATAAAGGGAAAAACTAAATCACAACTTAAACAATTGAAAGATTTCAAAAATAAAGTATTAACAGAAGAAGATATTGATGAATTATATAAATTATATAATCCTGAGCCACAAAAGCTAAAGGAACAAAACACCCAGGTCCTTCAGACCATAAATGAAGCACAAGCTTTAATTTATGATTCATTAGTTAAACCATATTCAGCCCGACTTTTAAATGAAGATCAACTTTTGGAATTCATCCTTCAACATAAACTCGAAGCGGGAAAGTATATCAAACCTTTATATACAGCATATTTAAAACAAATGAATAAAATACATCCAGAATTAATGAAGGGAGGATTGAATTCCAAAATCAAAGCAGATAAAATTAAACCACTTGCAACACCAAAACCTCCAACGACAGTACCGCCTCCTCCTTCAGTTAATCCTTCATCATTCACTTTATTATATCCATTTCAAACATTAAAGAAGCAAAAAGATTTTAAAAAGGATTTCAAGATATTAAATAAACCAATTGACCCAAAAATCCAACCGTTAAAGGAAAAATTTAGTCGCCCTTCATTTGCTCCATATCCATATTCATACGAAATCGATCATTTAGAATATTCAAAAGGAAACGTTACTTATTTATTTGCCATTAACATTAACACTAGATATTTATATTGCATTCCGGTGAAAGGGAAAACAGAACAGGAAACAAGAAGAGCTATACAATACTTACTAGATCATGAAAGAGTAGATAATATCAGGGGTGATGGTGATAAAGGATTTCAGGCAGCTATGGCTCATTATTTCCCACAAATTAATTTTTACTTTTCATCTTCTCCATATACGTTTCATAATAAAATAGTTGATGCAGTAATGAGAACTCTTAGAGATGCGTTAGGGGTTAACGGTCAGATATACTGGGATGGAAATCATGACTCCATCATACAGCAGTTAGTATATTATTACAATAATACATGGCATAGAACTATAAACATGAAACCGGTGGAAATGAAAAATGATATTTCAAAAGAATGGGAATATATATTAGAAAGCAAATGGAAAAGTTAAATGATGTTAAACGTGAACAAATTAATTCGGGGCTCATGAATTTTAAACAAGGGGATAAAGTTTTGATTCATCTCGATTATGGAAAAACTGATAAATCAATGACAAAAAGAAGACGAAGATTTGACACAATAGCTGAATTTGTTAGATATATTAACGGCAATGCATTAGTTGAAGTTGACAATAAATTAATAGAAATTCCGATTTATTTTATTACTCCATTATATTTAAATAATATTTAATTTTTTTTATTTCGTAAGAAATGAGTGACAATGAAGCAGCCAAGAGTCCAGAATTAAATCAAAAATATGCTATTACAAAAAGAAGCCACAATGCGGTGGGGTTGAAAACGATAAAGAAATAATCGAAAAATTAGAAACTTACCGTTCAATCCTTAAACTGAGTGAAGCAAAAATAAAAGAATTTAATAGAATAAATAAATTGATTGGAAGAGATGAATTTAATAAAGATGAATTTTTAAACTCAATCCAAATTTAATTTTTATTCCTCTTCGACAACATCTCTCTTTCCATCATTACTGCATAACCACATTTTCTCAATTTTAGTGGTTTGTTATTTTTAACATGTTCTTGCATCATTTTTATCATTTCCTCCCTTGTTATGATTCGTGGTAAATTTTGAGCTTGTGGGGTATTCATTTATGATAAAAATAAAAATTTGTTATCAGTTATTTTATCGTTAATGGTTTTTAGGTTATTCAATAATTAATTATTTTTGAAGAACTGAAGGTGCTACCATGTTACCATGTGCTACCAGGTCATTTAACTTCTCTGAAAAAGTGTGACAACATGACATTTTGACAACAACACAGGAGGAAGGCAGTTATGAATTATTTTTGAAGAACTGAAGGTGCTACCATGTTACCATGTTGACGACATGACATTATGTCAACAACACAGGAGGAAGGCAGTTATGAATTATTTTTGAAGAACTGAAGGTGCTACCATGTTACCATGTGCTACCAGGTCATTTAACTTCTCTGAAAAAGTGTGACAACATGACATTTTGACAACAACACAGGAAATGATTTGTCATGACTTCATCGGAATGAGTGTAAATGACCCAAAAATAAAGTTAGTTTTAAAATTATTTTTATTTTTTATTTTGTATGTAAGAACAGAAATGTCAGTCGAAGCAAAAACATTCACTAACAAATCTAATGGCGAAACATTCACAAAAGGCACTTATAACGGTATTGAAGTCTTACGTAGAGACAAGGATGGTTACATTAATGCAACAAAGATGGCAAGAGAAGCAGGAAAGTTAAACCATTTAAACAGATTTCTCAATAGTGCTAAAATGCAGGAAATTCTTGAGTTTTGGTTGAAAGAATACGGTCGAGCCAAAAGTGGCTCAACCTCAAAAAAAGCATTTTATGAGCTTACTAAGGGTGTTATAAATGAATTCAAAGGTATTTACATACATCCTGACCTCGTTCATTTTGTTGCTGAATGGTGCTCTGTAAAGTATGCATTTTATGTCAAAGATATTATGGACTCCATAGACAAGAAAGTTCATGAGAAATTAGATGAAGAAGAACTTGAAGATACAGTAGAGAATGCTAAACCTTTGTTTGAAGAAGAAGTTGGAAAAATGTGCGAAAAACAATTAGAACATGAACGTGAGTTATGTTATGGTTATAGAGATTCTCCATACGAACTAGACCAATGGGAACAAGAAAATTTAAAGAGAGAATTTAGAGAATATGAACTCGCTAAGATAGCATTAGAAGCTGCAGAAAAGAAGTTAAAAGCTTGGGGTTGTTTTGTACAAAAATATTGTGAGTAAATGAACCATTTATTTTTATTGAATTCACCAAAAATAATTTTTAGGGTAGATGGTTAGATCTAACCTCATTTCTAACCTCATGACATTTTGACAACAACACAGGAGGAAGGCAGTTATGAATTATTTTTGAAGAACTGAAGGTGCTACCATGTTACCATGTGCTACCAGGTCATTTAACTTCTCTGAAAAAGTGTGACAACATGACATTTTGACAACAACACAGGAAATATGATGCAGCCCAAAAATAAAAATAATTTTAAAACTAACTTTATTTTTTTATTCCTATATAAATGACAGCAACAAACAACAACAGCAACTTTATCATTTCTGATGAACAAGTTATTGATTCATTAGTTGAGGAATTAGTTGTGGCAGAAACTAAAACCCTCAACGAAAGAATTGGTGAAAACAAGATTGATTTACATAACTACCTCAAATACGATGGAGGAAGAGGAAGGAAAACTGGTATGGCTTTATTAGTAAATAAAATATCAAATTTAACGATTATAGATGTTGATATCAATAAATCGTACAATGATGAACTTAAAGAAACAGTTAGAAAAGACATTTTATCAAAACTTTCGGATAAAGATGTTATCGTTAAAACCGCATCAGGAGGTCTTCACATTTATTGCAACACTAATTTCTTCTATGCAGTTTCGAACAGAATGATTAAATGTTATTCCTGCAATGATTATGATATTGACATAATGACTTCTATGGATGATTCAAAACGTTCTTTAGTAGTTATGGCTGATTCAAGAGTTCGCAAGAATGCAACAGAACCAATCAATACATACTCATTCATTCGTGGAAGTTATGATTCAACATTAACCAGAACAGTGAATGATATATTAAATGATTTGAATATTAAGGTAAGAGTTGAACAGAAGAATGAAGAAATAAAGAGTATAATGAAAACAAAGATGTAAACATTGACGATAAACTAGCTCAGAGCATAGTTGATGGCATCTGTGATTTTGAAGTACATAATGACGGTGGAAACATGAATTTAGAAAAAGAAATAACATTATTCACACTGTTTCAAGCAATTAATTCGTTACCTAATCATTTAATTAATGAAGCATACGATAACGTTTATAACTTCTGCAGTTTAACAGAAAATGCAAAAAGTAATTTTGAAAAAGCACGTGATAGATATGCACATTTAATGACTTCTCCATTTGTTTTAGTGAAGATTCTAAAACTATACCAAAAGGAATATTATGATGAATATGTTTTACCTTTATTACGTAAGCCAAAAATAACATTTGATATCAAACTTGATGACTCGTTTTTGATAACAGATATTAGACGCAAGGCTGAAAATCATCAGTATAAAAACAGTTCTGAAGTAATTGAGGATTTATCATGTGTAATTCGTTTTGTAGATTGTGGAAACAAATACTTCATTCAGAAAGATTACAACATACACGACAAAATGAATCAAATATCATTTGTTCTTCAGTCAAACATGAAAGAGTCACTCAAAATGATTAAATTATTTAAAGAAGAAGGTAAAACAATAACAGCATGGGATGTACTATTAAATCAATTGTCTTCATTAACCGTTAAGGGTGTTTGCTTTAAATCTGATTCCCCAGATGTTTTCTCAACGTTTCAGGGTTATAAATACAACGTTCTCGAAAAAGTAGATTACTCAAAAATTGAGATGTTTATGGATTTTATTAAAGAAGCCATTTGTGATAATAACGATGAAGTGTATAAATACCTACTCGGCTGGATTGCATCAATGATTCAACATCCAGGAATCAAGAATGAAACAGCAATTATTTTGAAAGGACTTCAGGGAACAGGTTAAAACAGATTTACAGACATTATTTCTGAACTTCTCACCGGTTATTCATGTAAAAACATTACTGAAATAAGTGAGCTAACGGGTAATTTCAATTCAGTTGTTGAAAATAAAATGTTTCTTGTACTTAATGAACTCAAGAATGTAGGTGAAGACAGACTCGCAAACTTCAACGCTTTGAAATCAATTATTACGGATAATGAGATTAGAATTAATGAAAAGAATCAACCCAGAAGAACTGCTCAGAATGTTGCAAACTTCATTTTCGTAACTAACAACGTCTACCCTGTCAAAATTGATGTTGGAGACAGAAGATACGTAGTTTTAAGGGTTAATGGTAAATTCAAGGGTCAATTTGATTACTTCAAGAATTTAATGGATTCATGCACTAAGGAATTTTATGATAATTTACTGACGTATTTTATGCAATATGACCTTTCATCATTTAATGTACGAATCATACCGATGACTGAAGCCAAACAAGATTTAATAGAATTATCATCAAATCCTTTAGATGTATGGATAAATACACATTATGATGAATTGTGTGCAGGTATGACGTGTGAAAATGCTCTATTCTGCAAACCATCAGACATGAAAGACAAAAACTTTCAAATGAGTATTAAGGATAAATGTGATAGGAAACATAGAAGAATAGACGGTAAACAAACATGGTGTTATGTTTTGAAAGAAGAAATGAAAGGATTATATAAACAAATTGAACCAAACGATAATGAGGAATCATTTACTGACGATGAAATACCTGTAAATGAAGCTTTATAAAGTATGATTTGAATTTATTTTTGCCTTCCTCCTGTGTTGTTGTCAAAATGTCATGTTGTCACACTTTTTCAGAGAAGTTAAATGACCTGGTAGCACATGGTAACATGGTAGCACCTTCAGTTCTTCAAAAATAATTCATAACTGCCTTCCTCCTGTGTTGTTGACATAATGTCATGTCGTCAACATGGTAACATGGTAGCACCTTCAGTTCTTCAAAAATAATTCATAACTGCCTTCCTCCTGTGTTGTTGTCAAAATGTCATGTTGTCACACTTTTTCAGAGAAGTTAAATGACCTGGTAGCACATGGTAACATGGTAGCACCTTCAGTTCTTCAAAAATAATTAATTATTGAATAACCTGTAAACATTAACGTAAACATTTATTTCTGCAGTTCATCCATTACTTCATTACCTAATTAATTACAGACATAAAATATATTTAGTTCATTCAATAAATGCGGTACCATGCGAATACAGTCATAAATGGATGCATATAATCTTTACCCAAGCCTGTTGGATTTGTTGTGAAAGTATGTGAATGATTTCCTCCTGGTTCAGTTGGTCGAAAAGTCTTTTTTGCCGAATGGTTATAATATTCTGAGTTGTATAATGGATGGTCTCTTAATGAATGTGTATGATTACCTGATGTGTTTGTAGTTCCTGTATGAGTGTGCGGTGGAAGGTTTGCTTCAGTAATTTTCTTTGAACCACCGGTTTCCTTTGAAGAGTTCGCACAATAGAAGAATTTATCTACAATCTGTTCCCACGCACCAAAACCTAAAACTTTTGAAGGATTTGTTGAGTTCATTGACGTATAAATAGAACCAATGGGGTAAATCATCTCAAGAATTGTATTTAATCCATTATGAATATTGAATTTATTATATAATATTGAATTTGGGTGAGTATTTAAAACTGGTCTTGTTATCAATATTAACGTATTATTTTTGAAAATTGCTTTTCTAACATCTTGAAATTTTGTGATTTCAGACCAGTTTCTTCCATCACTACTGATATTTACTAAATCACCACATCCTAAAGCAATGAAATACCCATCAATATAAAATAAATTTGTAAATCTATAATTTTGAGTAAATTTTGGAGTGAATGAATAAACCAATTCCCAATTTGATAAATCCTGTGATAAATAAATATGTCTGTTATAACTTACAGGATATGAATAGACCATTTCACCTGAAACGAGAACATAAACATTTGATCCATAACATAAAGCTTCAATGTCTCCATCAGCTTGAAAAATTTGTTCAAATTGACCTTGTGATATTGAAGATGATCTATAAATTTTATCATTTTGTAGGATAAAATACATGTTGTTAATGTAATACCACTTACTTGTATAATCAATTTTCAAATCTGATGACATCATACTAAACATATAATAATTTATCCCATCCTCACTAATGAAAATTTGATTGACTTCATAAATTAGTACCCATTTATTATTAACACATCTAATAGGATTATTTGGATATTTAAATTTAGCATCTTGATTTAAATTACATTTGAACCATTGGATACAATCGAATGAATAACAAGGGCAAAAATCATCTTCAACCGTTATCATTCCCATAAATTTACCGTTATTATATTCAACATATAAAATTATTGGATTAATGATTGGCTTTCGTGTATCAGGATTCAAAACAGATGGAGTAAATGATTCATAGTTTTTAAAATCATTTGTTTTAAAATAATAAAGCACTCCATCTGTATAAAATAAATACATGGTCACTCCATCGAAACATATCCATTCAAAAGAATCTATATCAAAGGTTTTATCTGATGATTTCATAAAATTTAAAAATGGAGGAGTAAAATAGACCTCTGATTGTTTTAATTCAGCGTCAACATATTCCTTATCTGCTTTCTTCTCTAACTTAGTCTTTAATTCAGCGTCAACATATTCCTTATCCGCTTTAAGGTCTAAACATCCTGAAACCCATCCTGTATCAGCTTTAGTTTTTAAAATCTTTGATGTCCATTCATGATACCATTCAACACTTTCTTTAATTTCATTATCTTTTTCGTTAACATATTCCTTATCCGCTTTCTTCTCTAACGCAGCAGCAACACATTCCTTATCTGCTTTCTTCATTATGTCATTTAGGAAACCTTTTATGAATTCCTCATTTAAATTAAATCTTCCAATCTTCAAAACTTTAGGAAATGCATTTAATGCGTAATATCTCTGTTCTTCTGGTGGAATTGATGTTATATCATCCGTTATACCTTTAATTTTTGAATTCATAAATAAAATTTCTTTTATATTTGATATCACTGCACCACCCTTGCAAACGAATTCGAAATGGTCATTTTTCAATACTATCTCCAAATCTCCATATTTCAACCTTTGCGTTTGTTCTGCCGTCTTTGAATTATATGCATATATGGCGTATGTAATGGTCTGAGGGACCTGGGTGCTTTGTGCCTTAAGTTGTTGTGGTTGCTGTTGTTTAATCATTTATTATGATTTAAAAATAAATATTTAATCCGTTATCTCATCACTATTTTTTCTATTTGAAATTGCCATAATATTTCATTCATGAATTCTAAATCACAATCAAATAGGTCAGTTACTCTAAATTTAATATTTGATAAATCTTTTGAATGAAGAATAAATGAATTCCCGGATAATTGAAACGGATATGATAAAGAAAATATGTTTAAGTTGATGGATAAAATGTTTTGTATTGATGGGTAAGAGTTAGGGTCTAATGTTTGATGTGAAAATCTCATTGGGGTATTAACTTTATCACATTTGATTAAAATGAAATTGGAACCAGTGTCAGAATACAAAACATCCCCAACATCTTTTTCAAAATTTAATATCCCCAACAATGAACGAAGATGAGGAGTACAAAATTTAATTTTCAGCGGGAATTTAATAAGGTTATTTATTTCATCAAGTTCAAAAAGTTTATCAGGTTTTGATTTAAAATTTTCTTCATACCATACGATAAATGATTCATTTAAATAACTTAAAATCATGTTAATATCCCATTTCGCTATCACATTATTTATATACATATCATACGTTTTTTCATGGTCATCTTTAATAAATGATATATAATCTGAAGGGTCTAAAAGAATGGGATTAAATTTACCACTCACAGAAACGAGAGTAACATTATAAATTCCGCTAACTGTTAAATTTAATTCACAGTTATTATTCGAAATAATATTGATAATTGACATTTTTATTACGATTAAAAATATGGTAAAGCGTTATTTTCCAGTGATAAATAAAACTAGAATAAGATTACCTCAAGAATTCATAAATTCAACGAATAAGAAATTCATTCATGTTATAA